CCCCAAAACCCCAAAACCCCAAAACCCCAAAACCCCTAATAAATTTTATGGTATTGAAATTAAACTCCAATAATTTTTTTTATTATTTAAAAGTTTAATTTTTATACAATCACTTTACACTCAAAATCCTACATAAATGGTTGATCTGTTTTTCTCTTAAAGAACAATCAGTATCACCAAACAAAATGTGTTGATTACCATTCCAATGATATTTTAATAAAGAATTACTCCAAGTAATTCTGAATTGACCGTATATCTATTCTAATATGTTATCTAGATAATTTTAACCTCTAATAACTTACTAAAGCATTTGTAAAGATAGCTCGCAATATGCTCTTTTCTTAAAACCTAAAAGCTAGACCTGCTGGCGATCTACCCAAACCATTGTTGCATCAGTCATGAAGAAGTAGTCATAGAACACAAGAAAATCATCAAGAATTGTCAATATGCTCTCAGTGTAAGAAATAAGAGCTCGCTTAGAAGTATTCACTTATTTAGTCGAGGATATCAGAGCCAATTGCTCACAAATGAATTTAATAGAAATTGAGAAAAAGCAAAGCAGAGCATAGCCATGGTATTTACTCAGGTGTGAACCTTTGACAAAAAGATCATTATGAATATATTTTGTACCAATGAGCTGAATTCAGAGTAGAATGAAAGCAAAAGAGCATGAAATCCTCTTAGACTCTATGTTTAGAGAATTAGAAAAGTTAATATATGCCAAAATGTTGGGCTAGAACCAAATAGTAATCTAAGATATCATTTGAGGTGACTTCAGGATAATCTGACTAGTTCAATTCTAGCAAATATATTCAAATTATTGATAGTAGAATCAGAGTGGTATTTTTACAAATAGCTTTCTCTTTCAGGAATATAGCATTAATCATACTAAAGAGGACCCAAACTGTATGTAGAATTTGCTTAACCAATAGAAATATATTGGATCTCTTGGTCAAAAACAGATGAAATTAAGAAGCCCTACTCTTGGTCTCAATATTATACAGAGAGAAATAATTCTTTTTGCATTGTAAGAGTTGATCAATACATTTCTTATCCCTAAACTATAAATTATATAAAATAAATTAATCAGCATTCAAAGTTAATTCTGGGGTTTTGGGGTTTTGGGGTTTTGGGGTTTTGGGG